AAACTTCATCAAATTTTATTTCTTCCGTCCGAGGCTCGGGTAATCATCAAGAAGCATCCAGTGTGTCATTCAACATCTCCCGAATCATATAATCCAAATAAGTTTTTCGAGTTTCCGATAAATATTCGAGTATTCCTATAAATGATTTAAAATGCATTATTAGGTGTAGAGATGTTTGGATATCAACTAAAACATAATTTAGAGTTAGTGAATGTACTGTTTTGAAATGGACAATCAGAGCTTTAAATTTCTCATTTTGAGGGGCAGAGGACGCCATTGTCGCGACCTCTGAGTTTCATAAAATTTTTGAGATACATCTCTAAAAAAATTCAATGTTTCATGTACTATAAGTGATTTCAGAGATACATATGTGGAATATTTTCGTAGTTGTATCTCCGGAATCACCCAGAGTATATGAAACTTTGAATTTTTTCGGAGATGTATCTCCGGAACTTTCTCAGCTGATTTTTTCTTTTTGTTTTATAATTTTCTTATTTGTGTTATTTATTGATGTAAACTCATTGTACGGTTAATTATACCTTGCAAGCATAATGGCTGACAAAGCTGACCGATTGAGGCATGGACGGGTTGCCCAGCACACATCCGTTCGGCAGGAGCGGAGGCAGCAGGTTCCGGAGTTATCAGGTACCTCTGGTTAGAGAGAGGCGTTTACTGCTAGGGCACAGTCTACTCTTGGGACTCGACCTTCGCCTCAGTCCACTCCATTTACATCTCATCCCTGAGGGGTATGCTGTCAGGCGAGTACTGCATGGTATTATTGAAGAGGCATATGGAACACTTTTGTATCGCAAACATCGTGCGAGGATAGGGGGATCGATGGCCGAGGAGGCAGACCAGACACAGGAGGCAGATGAGAGGTTGTCAGACACACCCAGTAGTTGTCTGTATTTATTTTATTTCAGTACTATAGTTGTACGTTTTCTTGGCATTGTTACTACATTTTAGATTTACATGACGTATGACATCCTATTAGTATATTGTTGTGTTATTTTTGTTTGTCTATTATTTTATAATTCATTTGCAAATAAATACGCAATGCGTTTTTAAAATAAAATAATTATTCTGATACACTTCGGAGTTGTATCTCTAGAAAATTTCCATAGATACATTTCCGAAAATATTCAAATGAAAATGAGCTATGAGAGATATGATGTGACCGTTTAAGGTTTAAATTGTTTTTGAGATATATCTCTAAAATATTATTAAGTCATAGAACGCATCCGAAGATATATCTTCAAAATCTAAAAGACAATTGTAAAAAATCATGCAGTAAAAGGAACTCATAAAATACCTTAAGAAATTCTCTAATATTTTTTACTCAAGTCCATCTTTTAAAAATTCCCAAATCAATTCTTTAGTTTACTACAATTAAAGTATTTTGTAATAAAATAATAGATATGTCATGTTAACTATATGCGTTAAATGTCATGTTAACTATATGCATTAAATGTCATATAAAACTAAGAATTTTTACCAACTAAACCAAAGAATTACTACTAGATTTGATGATAATTTTAAAATAAATTAGTTGCATATCTATACATTATATGTATAAAAAAAATTGTTTTTTTTTTTTTTTTATTTGTCAAAGATCTTTTCTAAAAGTCTGTCTACTATTTTACTTTAGGGATTAAAATAATTACTTTTAGTTGGGGGATACAAATCTGTAGAAAAATTCTCAAAAATAGTAGTTTTGTAGTAGTTTTTAAAGTATAGGTAGGATAATGATCATCCACATTGTCATCTCTAATTTGATGATACTTAAAAAAAAAACTAATACAAAACTTTTAATATTTTTATAATCTAATATTCTCTTCGATCTAATTTATAATAGAATGTTTATTATTTAAATATATTTAAATATATTAATTATTTAATATATTTAAAAAATAAATTATTTCTTATAAATAAGATCGAAAATAATATATGTGATAGTTTCTCGATTACATTTTTATTTTATTTTGTTTGGTAAAAATTCTAGTTTGAAAACAAATATTTTAAAATATAAATTGTATTTATAATAAATTTCCAGTTTGTTTAATATAAAAATTTTAAAAACTTTTATTATGTAGGTGTATCATTGTTTCTTTCATTAATATTATTGAACGACAAGTGGAGTGGTTAATTCATAGTACCATATGAAGTAATTAGCCTGTGAAATTACAGACTGGATGCATCTAACAGTCTGGAAGCATCAGAGAATGTAAACCACCAGTTACCAGCGATTGTACTCTTTGTAGAAAAAATCTAACATAAACTTCGTTATCTCTGAACACTAAAACAATTTATATTCATGTGGATGCAATATCTACCTCAATAGCAGTACCCTGCATCTTAATCAGTAGTGTTCAAAGTGGTTGTATAATTGGCCTATTATGAGAAACTGCTTCTCCACTTTATTTCACAAAATTTTGTGTACTCTCAATTTTAGAAGTAAAAGTTAATATTTTGTTCATTTTGGTTAATGACATATATTTTATTTATATTTAAATTAAATATATTAATTATTTAAAGTAGATGTTAGTTTAATAAATATGTCTTAGTTGAATTAAATAAATATAAATTTTTAATTTAGAATTTAAATTTTTATTTATAGTATTTATTTATATGTATTGAAGTAAACAAGTTATTAAGGTATGTATTAATTTAAATAAATTGTTAATATTTATATATTAATATTTTTTTTAAAATAAATTTTATTCATAATAGTGATTAGAAGCATGAGACATTAGTATTTAAAGCATAATATAAAAATGTACTTGAGCTAAAATTACATGTCAAATTTAATACTAAAAAATAAGATAGACAAACATCATTTTGTTTTACCTTTAATAACAGGATTCGCAATTATTTGAATTCAATTTATTTTTTGTGATATCATTTAATTTCAATTTTCAAGAGTAAGTAACCCTACCAAATTTGAAATACAATAAAAAATAATACTAAACTTAAATACTCAATAATTAATGTACGCTTAATTTTATTTTATCATCATCTATAGATAAATGGTACTCTTTTCGTCTCACAATAGATATTTTCTTTCTTATTTTTATTTTTCTCAAATTAATTGTCTTTTAAAAATATTTACGTTGACATTTATTATTTATTTTCACTAAATTATTCTTATTTATTGTATTTTAAATCATATGCTCTACTATTATTTATTATTAATAAGATTATTTTAAAAAATGATTTATTTTATTATTTTATTATTAAAATCAATATAATTAATTATATTTTAAAAATATGAAAATCTCATTTATCGTGAGAGTAACTTTTACTATAATTTCACACAATTTACTAGGACTTTTTTTGAGCATGTACCATTAATTTTATCATGAATTATTTAAATAAGAGTTTAATTGCTATATCTAATGGTAGTTTAAAGAAATTTATGCTATCAAAGTATCAATACATCACTTCGTCATAAATTAAATCACTACGTCATAATTATTCAAATATATTACTTAAAAGAAAGTTAAAATAAAAATATTTTTTTTAAATAAATTAATAATATAAAGTAAAATATATTTATGACTGCCAATACATACTCTTTCTAATCACTATTATAAATAGAAAAAAAATAATTTTAAAATTTATTCAGTATTATAAATAAAAATGAATTTTTAAATTAATTAATATTTATATTACTATTATATTCTTAATTCAATTTAAAAATATTTAATATTGTAATTGATTCATCTAATATAATTAAAGATATTATAATAAATTTTATTTTGATGTATATGAAATTTAAAAAATTAATTGCATTAAACTAATTTTTTATTAATTTGTTAATATGTGAAAGAGATTATTTTTAAAAATCGAACTGAACTGACCAGTTCAATTGGTTGGACCGGAAACGAAAAATGAATCTGGTTGGTTCGATTTTTCAAAATCGCTAATGGCTTAAAACAAGAGTAAAACCAGAAACACTGGATTGAACCGTGCAAAACCATTTGAATCAAAGAATCGAAATCGGTTTTGTAAAATTTCTGGTTCAAAAATATGCATTAAATTGACCATTTTATTTTATTTTAATATCTTAACATATATTCCCCTATCACAAAAAGAATTTTGTGTGTTTTTACAACTATGCAAACTTCTAAATTTTATTATTCCAGTATAGTTTTTCTTTCAACCACACTTCATCATCATCATATCGTCTCTTTCAAACATAGTTACAATATTCTCTTTCAAACATAGTCACAATATCCTCTTTTAAACATAGACACGATGTCCAACTCAATATTGATTGTTTTTTAAATCAATATTATTTGTTGTTGTCAATTAAGACTTGTTTGTCGTAGTTCAACTCAAATTCAATTTTTTGTTATTTAATGAAATATATTATATTATTTATATTTTTGTATTCTATCTTATTTAATTTAAGAATTTTTAATTATTTAAATTTTATTTTAATTATTATATTCTATTATTTTAATTTTGGTTTGAATTAATTTAATCTATTTTATTGTAATTTATTAATTTGGTCAAAATATTTTAAATGACGGTTGAAATGAATTATAGAATTATGATATTATGTATTATCGATATTGTTGTATTAAACTTATAAAAAAAATTAAATATTTATTTTAGTAAGTTGTGAAGTGACATATTTATAAAATTTAATTTTATATTATTAGCTTATTTAATAAACAATTTGACGATAAGTTTAACCGATTGAATCAATTTAACCTTAAATCGTAAATTTTATTGATTCGATTTTTGATCTGTTTTTTAAAACAAAGCTTTAAATAGTATGTAAAAAAAAAATTAACAAATATCTAATTTTTTATTTTTTATTTTTATTTCTTTAAAGCTGCAATAAATAACCTTCACTTAAATTAAGACAACTAATCAATATCACCTAATTAAACACAGATTATTCTTAAATACAAAATCCTTAATTAAAAAAAAGAATCCTATAAGGTTTGTTTTTCATCGGACTGAAGTCTAATCTCACTCTCACATCAGTCATGACGCTCTTATCCTCTCACCTCTTTCCATTCTCCGCCGTGCACCGCCGTTCACCGGCGACACCCACCACCACAAATTTCTTTCCTTGGAACAAACCCAGAAAGCCAAACGACACTGTCAAGTTTTTGTATTCTCCTCTAGTACAGAGACGTGTCCGTTTGGATGAAAGATTTGTGACAAGGTCTATTGTCCCCGTAAATGCTCAAGATCTAATCCACAATGTCGGAGCGACCGTCGGTGTTCTTGGCGGCGCTTATGGTCTGGTTTTTTCCTTTGATGATCTCACTAGAAGAAACATCCTTGACCAGGTAATGGTTTGTTTGGTTTGATTTGCTTTCTTGAATTCACACTCTCTGCATGCATATATTAACATTTGACACAATTTCCGAAAAATATTAATATGAATTGATCCATTTTTTTACTTGTTTTGGTTCAATTTGAATTTCGGGTTTTGTTTTTAATGCAAAAATTGGTGCTTTCTTTGAAAAAATTGATGGCACATGGTGATGGCAGGGTCTGAGTAGAAAACTGGTCCATATATTGTCTGGCTTGCTTTTTCTTGTTTCTTGGCCAATTTTCAGGTAACCCATTTAAGTTATTTACATAAAGTTTGTGTCTTTGCTATTTTTTGATTTGGTTTGTTTGAATGTTTTGATGTTAATGTTAGGATAGTAACTCCTCTGAAGCTCGTTACTTTGCTGCTTTTGTTCCTCTGGTGAATTTCTTGAGGCTTTTGGTGAATGGTCTTTCCTTGGTTTCTGATCAAGGACTCGTCAAATCCGTGACTAGAAAAGGAGATCCAAAGTGAGTAAATGTCTATTCATATTTTTGGCATTATTTGGTTATGGCAGTGTTACGTTTAACTGTTCGCATGGCCTACAGAGAATTGCTAAAAGGTCCTCTTTATTATGTTGGGATATTGATGTTATGTGCTGTTGTTTTCTGGCGTGAATCTCCGGTTGGGGTGGTTTCCTTGGCAATGATGTGTGGAGGGGATGGTAATATAGACTAATACACTTTTCTTTACACATTCTAAGCTTATTCATGACTGTAGCCATGATGGATGATACCAGGTGTAGCTGATATCATTGGCAGAAGATATGGGTCCATCAAGATTCCTTATAACCAAAAAAAGAGTTGGGCTGGTAGCATTGCAATGTTTATATTTGGATTCTTGGTTTCAATTGGGTGTGTTACATTACATTGCAACAAACTCATCAATTTTTTCAACAGTACTGTTTCCTTTATTAATTAAGAAACTGACTCAGCTTAGAGAATTAAATGTGAAAAAAGTATTACTCCAATTAGATTTTGAGACTGAAACTGTTGATATTTATTGCATGTAGGATGCTCTATTACTATTCAGCTCTAGGACATGTGGAGTTTATCTGGGAGAGCATTTTGCCAAGAGTGGCTTTTGTTTCTATTGTGGCAACAGTGGTGGAGTCCCTACCCATTACTGAAGTGATAGATGACAACATTTCTGTTCCACTAGTTACCATGGCAATTACTTTTTTCATCTTCAATCATTAATAACTTTTGGAGAGACTATTGGTCTAATATCCCTTTTGGGTTATATATACCTTTGGGCAATTTATTCTCACCATTGTTCTTTGAATTATTCTTGGCACTATGAAATTAATTCTAGAATGTAACATTGTAAATACATCATGATCTGCAACAAATTTGAAACTTCCCTATATAAAATCATTTTCAAATAACGATTATAAATGTTTAGTAAATATTTCTTATTCGATACTAATTGGTAGCTTTGCCTGCAGTCTAGACCATATTTTTTGGTGCAATTGCAGAGATTAGTCTCTTGCATCAGTTAGAGACTAATCCCTTGAATCGGATAGGACAATCTGAAACACAAGTGAAGCAAATTTTGATAGATTACAAGTGTCTCTCTTAACTGAACCAACTTTCTTGGTATAATTACAAATAAATAATGATTGAAGTTCTGTATAATGGAGCTTACCAAGTGCAATCTAACTTCCCTGTTAAAAAGCAACACAGATTTTTAGTCAACATCTAAAACCATATAGAATTGGAGATGGCACTCATTATTTACAAAATGCCAAGGAAAAATCATGCCCATTTTTAATGTTCAGGGAGGCTACACCTTCTGACCTTGGGCTGAAGAATCAATAAATTGAGCAATTCAATGGTTCAGAACATTATGATAACCAAAATGCTACTATCTTCCAGCTAGTGATATGTAAAAAATAATAATTGATATTTTTTCTTACAAAGTATTGGTTCCAACCCCCAACATAGCTACAATTAGAACTTCCACATTTAATCATAAATCCCATTGAAGCATGAAAAAGGATGGAAAAACTCATCACAAATTTAAATTAAGTTGTGGTGAGGATTTAGCTTGAACAAGCTTCGGCAAAGCTAAATCTACAAATTCACTTTTTTAAAGGAAAAATTGATTAATGGGGAGTCCAACTGTTTCATCCCTTTTTGCTGAAGATGATGAAGGTGTGTTTAAAAGAAAATGTTGTCAAAACCAGAATGAGATCACCGGTTTTGAAGTCCTTCAATTGCCTTTTTCCATATAGTTGCTCTTTGCTTAACATCCTCAAACGACATAACCTTTTTAGGCTGCATCATACATTTGATAACAAAATTATGAAGGAAGGTACCAGAAAACAAAATAAAGCAGATCATGGTTATCAAATCAAGATTCAAATATACAGGAGATCTTTTTTCCGAATCATGAACTGAATCTTATACTATGAATCATAAGACTAGCAGTCAATAAAAATATGTTGCTTGAATTCTAAAGAGAAGAGAAAGCTTACTGTGCAAATCTTGAAATGTGAAGGACTAGTCACTTGAATGCTTAAATCATTTGGATTATCAGACCATATTATATTTCCCTTTACAATTAATTTCGAAGGGTCAACATAGATCAACTTTGGCTTGTTGGTAAGGATGAGCTGAACCTTCTTGCTTGTTATTTTTTGTAATTTCTTCACCATGGAGATCATAAGAACAGATTCCCCGGGCTCTAAAAATTGTTGCCTGTTACATGTTCACAAAATTTGATTAACAAGCCAGGTAAACATAAGGCTTCTTCAATTGCAACTGCACACAACTCTTTCTATTGTTTTTTTTAACTCTATTTCTATGCTAGTATTTAGGAATAAACTGATGTATCTTTGTAAAAAGTGAATATATCACTGGACAATATGTAAATTAACATAATCCGTGACACATGAGACCTCGCCGTGTTGTTTTTAGTCTGTATGATAAAGTAGCTAAATCTTAACTAATATAGTTTTGCCTTATTTATGTATTTTAAAAGAAATTAATACCATTTTCTATGATGTGAAAAGCTCTAAATCATGACAAACATATAATTTAGTATATTATGCATCATTCGATAAAATATTTAAAATGCAGAGAATATTGCTTCAAAATATCACCTATTGGTACAGATTTTAAAATATTTTGAAGTTTGTGAAATTGTGAAGGTGACTTGACCGACATAGGATTAATGGTCCCCATAAAACATATACTTTTGATGTCAATGCTTCACACCAATTTCATGTTATGTCAATATGATTGGATATACAACAATGCACAAAGCAACAAACAAACAGGAAAGTTTCTGCATACCATTTTGAATCAAAGGAATCAATTGAAGCTAGCCTGGTTATAGAACCGGTTCCCTCTGAAGACGATGCAGCGCCATCAGGCTGTCTAGCAGAAGCTGCAGAACCGTCGCCGATGTGAGAAGGACTCCATGATGACTCCTGAACATCATCGGCAGCAGGCGATTGAGTCTAAAATGAATATTATGGATTAGGTATTATGTTCTTATTAAATCAAGAAAGTGGACAAGAATCAATGGTTCTTTTCTTATTTTGCATAAATAACATTTCAAATGGTTAAGCAACGGAAGTCAAACCCCAGGTTCCAGAGCAAGTTTTGGAGGAGTTTGTGCCCTTAAGTTATCCCAGGAAACTGCCTTGAAAAAGGGATGTATTTTCAAAATAGCGTAACCATCAGGTCCTGCACCTGGTCTCCTGCTCGGGTCTAAATCCTGCATCATAATTGCATTTATCTTTAAAATTAAAAATTTCAAATTAATAGCACAAAGCATGCAACTTAAAGCATGCCAAAAAATTTGTTACATGTATCATCAAAGGATGAAATCTATTTCGGGAAAAAAAAAAAAAAATCGATCCATCCGTTCAAGATAGGGCAACCAAAAACATTCTTTGACCAGTTGTTATGGCGCTAATTGTAATTATGCTATTGTAATTTTGTAAAAGGGCATAGAAACTGAATAATGTAGTCAAAAGAAAAAAAGTTTGTCAGCAGCTATTTTACTGGAAAGACAAGGGTTAACCTTAGAGAAATGAAATTGCCTATTGTTATCCCCAAGTCAACAGAGAAAACAAAAAAATATTAAACTCGTGTAAAATTTTAAAATAATATCCTACAAGAAAGCCAGATGTAGAACACGTGAACCCTAACTGCTATTTTATCTTAGTTGTTCAACTTAAAGAACAGCAACACAATTGTTGCGAAAATGGGAAGAGGATAATTTGCTGAAAATGTGGAAGTGTATAAGAATTAGAAAGCACACCAGGGAAATATATGTGTCCAGTCATAATGCACTAACCAATAGCCGGTCAATAAGGTCTCTTGCTTCATCTGAAAAGTAATCTGGAAATCGAATTTCTCTTGCTATAATTCTTTGGAAAATAAGCCATTCACTTGCATCTTTAAAAGGAGAAGTTCCAGAAAGCATTTGGTATAATGTGCAGCCAAGTGCCCAGAGGTCATTTCTGTGGTAATATATTGAGGAAGAAAAACAAAATATATAAAAGGTTATAACATGATGACCAGCATGCAACAACAAAAGGGAACTCAGAGCAGTTAAAATATGACATCTGAATTGCCCAAAAAATAATCCTCGATTTAGCCAAAAACAAAATCATAGACTAACATTTCAAAATTATCTACGTACGCAGAAAATCATCAGAAAAAGGTAAAATTAATCAATGCTTAACCTTTACCCGAAAGTTGCAGGAGAAGAATTAAGAACCTCTGGAGGGACATATGCAGCTGTTCCCACAAATGTGCAGGCTTTGTCATCTAAATTTTGTTGAACATAATAATTAATAAAGATATTAAAAAAGAACAATATAAATTTTTAAAAAATAAATAAATAACAGCTTCAGCAATGCTCCTATCTTACCTGATGCTGCATTTGGAAGGACGGTAATTTGGCTATCTTGCATAGGCTTCACACTCCCAAAATCGGCTATTTTAATATGTCCTTCACCTGTGAGTAATAAGTTCTCTGGCTGCAGTTGAAGAAATTTAATTTTCACTCATAGCAATATATGACAATAATGCAGTATAATCATCCCAGAGCTACCTTAATATCACGATGTATCACTCCCAAACCATGTATGTATTCAAGAGCATCAACAACTTCAGCTGCATAGAATCGTGCCTCCTCCTCGGTTAGACGGCCTTTCTGCACACAGGAAATCAGAGAGTTTGCTAGTTGATATCATTCAGTAACAAGCATCAGAAGGATAAGGATACTATCTAACATACAAAAGAACGTCGAAATTTCAACACTTCTAGAAGTACAAAAACAAATTATGAGAGGCGATCAGATTGTAAATGTCTTGATAAGATCACAAACTTGAATTCTTACTGAAACAGAAGGATTATAATAGTACAAGTAGCAGGAAAAAAAAACAAATTTAAAGTCATCAACTGGTAAATAAGTGGATTGGATTATATGAACTCAACTTGAGTTATACATAGCTAACTCAACTTTTCAATAAGAGAAATATTGAAAGACTTGATAAATTTCAAAGCCCCTGACAGAGATACTGAATAAAGAAATTGACAGTACAATTTAGGGCAGCGGTGTTCAATTATCGTTAATTTTAATATTCAAAAGAATATTTCTGTAAAAGGCTTTAGAATGGAGGCTATTCAATTTGCTTAAATGTGGTATCATAGAATTTAAGCAATAAACAAGTTTGATGATATCAAAAAATTTCTAAGAGTGAAGTGTACTTTGCCTTTTATTTATAAATTTGCACTTAAGCATGTACAGAGAATTGATAAAGAAAAATGCCATACTAATTTATCCTAAACCTTAGAAAACCTTATACTAAGAAAGAATCATTCTATCACAGTATATAATTCCTCTTTTTGGAAAATTCTAATAAAATCAAAGCAAATGTTATGGTTTTAGTGTTATAGACTTATCGTAAGACCTGACATAGGACAAAACCTCAGCCCTACTGCATAAGATTTTTTCGAACAAAAAACTTATACACCACCGGAATTACTGAATACTGAACATGTGAAATGAACTTTTATGTTGGCCTACCCTGGTAATTTGATCAAAAAGTTCTCCACCTTCACAGGATTCAAGTGCCATGTCTTCTCCAATGCAAAAAAAAACATAGAAAAAAAGATTATTTCAAATATCGCTAAGAGGAGTAAGCCGCAGAGAAAATAAGCAGAAAATATACCCA